TGTCCATAGCATCATTGAAGCTGTTCACGAGAGCCAAAGAAGCTGGCGTCGATCTAGATGCTTACATGAAAAGAATCCCAGGAGTATTATCTGATGCTGCGTCCCCGACGCTTCTGGCAACAAAATAGAAATCTTGGAAGCAATCAAGATGCCTACGAAATTATATGAACCAAGAAGATTCCGGTTTATGTCACCAGATCATTAGAAAATGAGCTGATAATAGAGGCAAATGTCCTACGCAACTTTGGTATTAAAATGATTCGAAGTGATACCAATAGCGATTTGCTTACGGACTCAGTCAAAGATCAAAGATCCCTTGGATGTAGTAAACTTTCGGACTGATATACTACCTGGAAGAAGCAAGATGACGAAAAAAGTGGGAAGGAAGCTTTTGAAGGGTCAAGAAGGACAAGAAGAAACAAAGAGCACAAAGCGCAGACAGATTAAGCACGAGAATCAAAAAAATCAAGAATTCCAAGAATCAAAAAGGAATCTTAAACGAACCCTTGACAGATATGAAGCAACTGATAAAATCTTCAAAGGTGCACGAGCTGAGAAACAATAGCCAAATGATAGATCAGTCGATGTCAAACGGATAGGCGTGGAACAGCAAGATAAAGCTGATTCCAACGCATCAGCAAACAAGAATGTTGTGAAGAAACTCAAGAGTGTTAATGCGAGGCGGTATGGAAAAGTGCACAGATGTACTAAATTCCCTCGCGCTTTTGGGATTTTTTTGAAATGCTCAACTATGTCAGAGCACATACCTGTCGAACTAGTCGTACAAATGGAAAGACACAACGAAATCAAACAATTAGAAGTGGACACTTGTTATGGTGTCAGAAATTTGGAAGAAGATCGCTCGGACAAGGATCGCATTGACGAGGACCGCATGGGCAAGGATCGCATGGACCAGGATCGAATGGGCAAGGACCGTTTGGACAACGACCACAAGGAAAAACAACGAAGAAGAAATCACAAATAGATTAGAGCTTATTAAAAGTCGGGACGCCACTTACGATAAGGGAGGACGTGTAGCATTCAGGCGCCCGGCCTAGATTTTTTTCTCACACTATTACTCTTGAACCAAACCCATGGGATGCACGAATCACCATATCTCGTGTGTCGGTTCTAAGATGTGTGGTTTGTTCCTCGACAGTTTCTCACCAATAGTCACTGTTCTGTATTAGCTTTTCTATAACTTATCATCTAGCTACTCTTATTCTCTTGCATATCATCTTCTTCTTATGGTTTGTCATATCTTGTGATGAGGCATTTATATTTTTACCAGTTGTCCCCCTAAGTCAGTAGAACTTGCGGTCTGGACTGTCCTATCGCCACTATGTCCCTGCGAATCGTCACGAATTTTGATTTTTTAGATTGATTTATTGATCTTGTTTCATATTAATTATCTAAAATCTTATATATAAAGCTGAATGTCTGTTTGTCTGTATGTCTGTCTGTCTGTACGTATGTTCCGAATAGAAAATTCCATTTCTGAACCGATCGGGACCAAACTTGTCACACATACACTTCGGGCCCTGGCGGGTGTCATAGGCTATTTTTCGTCATCGATCGATATTGATTTTATCGATTTTTTGCAAAATTTGAGCTACAGGGCTGGGAGTTGGCACAGGGGGGTAATCGAGCATGCTGATCACCCCCGTGGGGGTGATCAGCATGCTCGATTACACCTCTCTGCCAAATTCCAGCCCCCTAGCTCAAATTTTGCAAAAAATCGATAAAATCGACATCGATCGATAACGAAGAGTGGACAGTGGCACCCGCCGGGGCCCGAAGTGTATGCGTGCCAAGTTTGGTCCGGATCGGCTAAGAAATGGAATTTTCTATTCGGAACATACGGCGGAGCCGGGTAAGCCGGCTAGTGTAATACAAAATACTAGCTCAGATGTACATAACAGGGCATAGTCTGCAAATTAATAAATTTGTTGGGCATTTTTATAACATTTTTTCTATTTTTTGATACAAGAATTGTGTACATACGAAATAAAACACCCGTCTTCGCAGTATTGGTTGTAAGCGCAAATCTTCTTTTACAGCTCCATTTGCGCTTTGCAGTGTTGCTCTTCCAGTTATCTCAATCCAAACTACTTCCGGTCAAATATTAAGATGATCTAAAGTTGGGGCACCTTGATTTTTTGAACATTTTTGAAGCTTTCTTTCTAGTTGACTATGAACCCAGCAATTTGAACGCATCTGTATGGTGGCCTTCGCATCTTACCCTGGCAGCACCATGCTGCTCCTCTCCCACAATCATTCGAGCGGCGCTTCGAAGAAGACAGCAGACCTTTTTAAAAACCATCCGAATCTGCGTAGTGTACTCTAAGTCGCTCGACATATGACATTTCATTTAATAGAAGTTTACAAGCTTTTTCTAAATGTTACTTACAATTAGGTAAGCGGGAATTTTTCATATTCTGTAAAAGAGGTACATTGTTCGAAAAAGTGAGATATTTGGCGCAGACTTTTAGGTCAAACATGTTTTTTAATCCGCTTTTTCTACAAATAAAAGAAAACGTCGAGGTAAGATGCATACAGTTGGATAGAGCGCAGAAAGCCCTATAGGTTAATGACTGTCAAAGGCGAGCTCATTCGATTAACTTGATGAAGAGATGAAATAACATCAATCTTACTACTCACTGTTATTATTCTGCAAGCGTTGGGATCATCACGCTATTTTATTTGGTGGCAGTCCTTCAAGCCATTGCGGGACATATGTTTTAGGCAGTCTCACTCGTCTTACTGCGGTATTGCTGCTCAAAGTTTAAAGTTACTGGTACTCAAACAATCGCACATAACTTTTGGGGCGGACGCTTTTATTGGGCCGTGTGGGTGGGTTTTGCTCTACCTGGCTTTGAAAACTGATTCCACGCACTTTGCTCAAATTTTTATGCTAAGCAAGCCAGATTTTTATCTCACATAAAATTTAATTTGATTAACGTTGCGAAAATGTTTGAAAATCTCACATACGGATAAAAAGCCACGAAAGTCCACCAGTCCACTAAGTTTTCTTTTAATTTTTTTTCGACAATCTTGCATAAGCAGCACGCTTTAGGAAGCAACATATGTTGACATATCTTTGAAGCCGCTTATCTTCTCTTCCACCGTTAAGCACATTTCACCACATTAGTTTTTCTGTGTTTCTTGCGATCTTTGTCGCCATCATGGATTGCCAGTTGATAAACTTGGTACTATATTTCGTAACTCTATGGGCCTATGAAATTAGAATTGTTTTATGATGGACTAGCTGGCATGCACTTCTCCGTCTGGCCCTGTCTAGACACTAGATGAAGGTCACCATTCATATTCCTGTACAATTTTTCCTTGTGCCCGCGTCTACATGTCAGTCCATTGAAGGCACCGTCTACCCTAAGTTGGGTCTCGAGGGCAGCATATGAGGTTAGGGCCCCTATAAAGCCAATGCCCAAGTCGTAGCGCAAATTGTCGCTTCGGAGGCGAAAAAACCGCTCCGGAATGACGAAGATGCATAAAATCGATAAAAGTAATACACAGCTCTGGAAACTATTATTGCATTCGTAATCTCCATGCTCGATTACCCCCCCCCCCCCTCTTTGACACTCCCGAACCGTAGTTTGAACTTTGCAAAAAAATCGCTCAACAGATAACTCTGAATAATGTATTCGTAATCAGCATGCTCTCCTGTGTCAATTTCCAAACCCGTAAGCCAAATTTTACAAAAAAAAATTTGAGATACAGTCGATATCGATCGATAGATAGCCTACGACATTCGCCCGCCTTGGGTATGTGTGCCAAGTTTGGTCCGTTCGATTCAGAAATTTAATTTCCTATTCGGAACATACGTACACACAAACAAACATACATACAGACAAACCAACGCCGAATTTTTGCGTATGACGCGCACAGCTTCACGTGTTTCTCTGGACTACTTTCCGGGAACAACCCTGCGCTAACGGCTCGTCCTGTGTACTTCAGTGGCAAAGCCGTTTAATGTATTTAACCCTTGAATCACCACTATCATAAATTAGTCTTCCTTCATCATCTGCTGTTTAGGTTTCCAGTTTTTGCAAACGTTTTGTGACCATCTCTTAGCAAAAAAAGTGTGCGTGTTCCGCTTAGTTGTGGTGGCTGCCCAATGTGAAAACGGACATCAATCATGAACGAAAAATACAATGAAGCGATGCAGACATGTGGATTCGATAAGTGAGTGGGCAGCCTGCGAGTCAGCTTCTTTCAACTGCGTAAAGACGATGCATAAAATGATCGTCTACAATCGAAGCTGATGTAATTGGCTGCCTAAATCATCATTTCAAAAAACTGTGCGACTCAAATAGAGAATAAGTTAGACTGATATTTCGAAATTTTTCGATCATCCAGGTATTTTTTGTAACACACGACCGCGTTTTGCCTTTGTTTCGTACTATTTAGAAGCGAGTAGTTTGCCATTAACCTTTGACTCAATGGACAAATTGTGCTTTTATTTGAGGAGGAGGGAATGAGGAGAGACCAACATTTATTTCAGCGTAAAGAAAACACATTTGTGCAATTTTTTTCATATTTAGTAAGCTTGCGTAAGTAGTCAAGAGTCTGAGATTGGAAATAAGGTTGATTAACTTTTAACTCAAGCGGGTAATTTCAACTTTAAGCCTGACTACTGCAGATTGAACATTGAAGCATGTTTTGCTTTCCTTGCTATAAATCACAAAGAAGATACTCTATACTGTTTTCAAAGAAGTCCCTGTTTCAAGGATCGAAATGCCTGACAGAAAGGCATGAGCATCGAATGCTTTCCTGATAAAATGGTGTCCTTGTAGTCAGAATTACGGAAAGATATTTTTTGCTACAAAAAGAATTGAAAGCAAGAATTGCGCAATGTGCGGAAAGATTATGCTTTCTCGAATGTAAAAGATCAGCTGGTCCAAATTTATGCGCAGTTTCAACGTTGAATACAACAAGCCAAACCCTCCAAAAATTGCTTTGAAAGCTTTATTTCATTAGATCGTTTCATACACCAAATATTACTGTCCCCATCGTCCAAAGGTCGGGTAACTCCATTTTCGACCGCCAAAGGTACCCCCGCGGGGTCCCCAACTCGAACTTCCGCGACCCCACCGGCTGTAGTAACGTCTCCAGTCCATTTGTCGCTTTTCTCGGGTCAACACTCTGAAACGACAAGTTTCGAAAATCACGTAAATCAGCACTGCATGAACCGCGATCTAGGTGTTCAGAGGGTATGCATGCTTTTCATAAACAATAAATGTGAATCTAAAAAACAAGTTGTAGCTAAACTCACTCATATTGTGACGGGACTGCAAGCACACTTGCTGCGAGGAGTACAAAAAGGAGAACAAGCTTGACACTAAGCATCCTAAAAAAAACATTTGATGGAATAATGTAGTTCAGACAACGTTGTGAAGGTGGCAAATCCGAAAGTAGAGATTTGAAGCTGAAAGCTAAAAGTTTGCAAATTGCAGATGATGAAGGAGTTGCGTGTTGCAAGAATAGTGGCAATAACGTGGTGAAATGGTAGATTCACAGTTATCACCTTTCTTATGTAGTAGCTCGGCAAACTGGTTCAGAAAACTCAAAGCCGTTCCATCATTTTTTTTGTTGCATGCACTTCCTTATACTTCTTTGCTGACTTGAGAAATCAACGGAGCAGAGTTTGCATTGAGCAAAGGTTGCAACCACTTTGGGGGGGGGGAGCGTGATGACATCCCAGTTATTTTACAAGTTGTGGGAGCTTAACTTTCACAAACTAGACACTACGTACAATACCGCTCTCAGAACGTGCAAATCCGTGAATGTCGCGGAACTCCCGGAATTCCACGAAGGTCCGCGAAATGCTCGGAATTTCGCGACATTCCGCGAATTTCGCGGAATTTTCGGAATATCGCCACAACTTCCTTCGGAATGCATAAATTCTGGATCTGAAACGAGGGTTATACTCAGCTCATTAAGGCGAATCTTTTGGTACCTTGCCTTACCGTAATTCTCGAGGCACGATTGCACGGTATGAGATGAATTTTGCATTTTGGGAGGGCAGAGGTGCGATAGGCGGAGCCGAGTCTCCGCCTACCTCCACTTTTGAGCTGGTACGGGGTGACCACCTTCACTTTTGGGTTTGAAAAAATTTTTTTTGCTAAAGCTTAAAGAAGGAAAAATAAGCAAAATGAACGCAAAAGAAAGTATTGAGAGCATATATCTATGTAGTAGGTCGATCTAGGCGGTAACCGCCGAGAACCAGAATTTCAAATGACAAAATAGCGAAAAATCATGCGAAATTTCCACGGTTATAAATCTGGTGATTGAAGATGTCAGCAGTTGCGACTTTATCGTTTTTGAAGGGCAAGTGCTGTTCTACCAGAGAGTGAAAGAACTAGGTCGATTTGAGCAATGGCCACCGAGAACGAGTTTTTTAAAAAATGAAGCGATTTTAGGTCACTTAGTGACAGCTGAAGTTTAGACCCCTATAAATCTGAAATGTGAAGGTATGCAATGTTGCGACTTTATAGATCTTGTAGAGTGAGGATAGCTCTATCGGACATTATTTTAGCCGTACCGATCCATTGAAACAGCGCCGAGATCCAGGCTCTTGCAAAAACAGGTAAAAAAACGCTTGGAGTTCAACAGCTCATAACTTCTCCAGAATTGCATGAATCATGTTGCGACTTCATAAGTTGGATTCTCCTCTTCAAGAGCTTTCAGACGATGTATAATATGTAGGGGGTTCAATGATTTTTGCGGCTCTAACCCAGGGTGGAGACTTTTCACCCCAAAGTCTCCACCTCGCCCATGTTAATGTATTGGCTGGAGACTGTCAGTGGAGACTTTGGGGTAAAAAGTCTCCACCCCCGGGCATATGCCGTGAGAGGCACGAAACCCCCACATATTATATTAGGTCGTTCCGAAAGTAATGTCGCTTTTTTCGAATGAACGCCACTGTTCGTGGAATCAACATTTTTAGAAGATCTTAGGAGCATTCGATGCAGCATTTCATCCTCTTTCTAGTGGTTGCAATTTCACTGCATAATGTTCAATGAGCTTTCGAAAAATTACCAAAATCTGCGACTCATGCTTTTTGCCATGATCAAGTTCGGCTATTTTTCTAAATTTTTGTACCTAATCTCCGAAAAAGTACAAGTGGCAGGTAGATAGAGCAAACACTATAGAACACAGAGTAATTTTTTCTTTTCCTTAGCTTGCTTCTCAGAGTTTCTACAATCATTCAATGCCATCAAATTGCATATTTAGTCAAGTCAAACCTCACAGAACAATAACCGGCAAGCGACTCGGTTGTCATTCGATGCAGCTTTTTCTCCTCTTTCTAGCGGTTATTTTTTGTTCTCGATTCATCAGGTTTTTCGGGATAAAATCATCATAATTCGACTTTTCCAAGGTACCCCATGGTGTACCCGAAATTTTCGAAAGTTGCTAAACCGAAGCAGTAAATGCTCGTTTGGTTTGTAAAATTGTTGTCAAACCGTAATCAATCTTTGTAAGTTTCAAAATCCGAAGACTTATTGGCGTTTGATGCACTTGTGTCTGAGACGAGCCTGCTAAAATTCGGTGGTTCCATCAAAAAATCTGTACAAAAATATGACGAGCTTTGGAAAGTAGAAAAAAGTTGTGCTGTTTCCTGTATGGTTTGCTCCGTCCATCCATTACTTGGGCTCCTTCTGAGGTTTGTTATAAAATTTTAGAAAAATTGTGAAACTTGGCCGTCTTAAAAAGCATAGGTCAAAGATTTTGACTCTTTTCTGGAAGCTCATTGACTGTGTTGCAACAGCTTCATAACCATTAGAAAGAGAATGAAATGCTGCATCAAATGCTACCAGAATCTTTTACATATCTTTGTTCCACGAGATGTGGCATACGTTTAAAAAAAGCGACATTACTTTCGGAATGACCTAATATATCATCTGAAAGCTCTTGAAAAGGAGAATCCAACCTATGAAGTGCAACATGATTCATGCAATTCTGGAGAAGTTATGAGCTGTTGAAGTTCAAAAAGCGGTTTTTCACCTTTTTTGAGAGCCTGAATCTCGGCGGTATCTTGATGGATCGGTACGACTAAGACATAGTTTGATAGAGCAATTCCTACCCTACAAAACCTATGAGGTCGCAACATTGCACACCTTCACATTCCAGATTTATAAGGGTCTAAACGTCAGCTGTCACTAAGTGACCTAAAATCGCTTAATTCTTTAAAATTCTCGTTCTCGGAGGCCACTGCTCAAATCGTGCTGTTTCCTTCATTATCTGGTAAAACAACACTTAGCCTTTGAACCTATGAAGTCGCAATTGCTGACATCTTCAACCATGATATTCATAACAGTGAAAATTTCGCGTGATTTTACGTTATTTTATTATTCGAAATTCTTTTTCTTGGTGTTTACTGCCTGGATCGACCTACTTTATTTGCGGTACGTTATAACGAAATTTACTTAATAAAGTACGTAAAGCCTAGCTAAGTTTTACTTCCAAATGCGCCATTTGATAAGCACTTTATTCTAGATATTTATGCCGCTGCATACATAAAAATATGCTTTCAAATGATCTCTTTTGCATTTGTTTTGCTTATTTTCCGCGCACTGGCGGCAACGAGCTGGAGGATAGGCCCAGTCGACGTTAACGCTTTCTCTCTCTCTCCCCCCTTCCCCGTTTTTGGGAGGTGAGTGTCTGGCACTACCACCTTCAATTTTGGCCAGCCAGTGGTAGCTGGAACTACCTTCACTTTTGGGGGGGGGGGGGCCCGGCTCCACCTATCGCACCACTGTGGGAGAGGGGAGGTGGGTGTACGGCAGCAAATAAATCCTTTTGCGATTTTTCTGAAATTCTAGGGGGGGGAGTAATCATTGGTATTGGGTGTGGTTAGTTCTAAAATATGCGAACATGCCGTGATAATGCCGTCGATGTTGTTTTTCTCCTTTTCTGTTTGTTTAGTAGCTTCAAGCACCTATTTACTACTAGAAGGGGTGGGTTTGAGTACAGGACACGAATATTGTCTTCACCTCCCCTCCCCCAAGAAGCAGATTTTATCTCCTACCGTGCACCAATCGTGCCCCGAGAATTACGGTAAGTCAAGGTACCAAAAGATTCGCCTTAATGAGCTGAGTATAACCCTTGTTTAAGATCCAGAATTTATGCATCCCGAAGGAAGTTATGGCCAGGGCTCGGCACGAAGTGGCTAGATGAAAATGCAGAAAACGAAGTCCCCCTTGACTTTTGGGCATTTTTACGAAGTCCCCTTTGACCCTACACCATATTCCCCTAAAATTCTCCAAAAAACAAAACGTCGACTAAAAAAAAAGAAAACGCCAATTTTGCGTGTCTTCGTCCACAAAAACGAAACCCCCTTTGTTTTTTGTCACAAAAACGATATCCAGTTTGCTTGTAAGCCACCTGTGCCGAGCCCTGGTTATGGCGATATTCCGAAAATTCCGCGAAATTCCAAAAATTTCGCGGACCTTCGCGGAATTCCGGGAATTGCGCGACATTCAAGGAAATTTTGCACGTTCTGAGAGCGGTATTGTACTTACAACATCTCATATTTGACGCATCAGAGAATATTAGAATAGTCATATTGATTTTGATTAATTTAGCTAAAATCAACTTATATTACCAGAAGCAAATACCTTTTTATGACGCTGATAGCTAGCATGATAAAGCTAGTCAAAAAAAATGATGAGTATGCTTGTTATTGTTAAAGTTGTCGGACATGCAAGTGCAGGTCAACTCTGCAACACTAATAACTCAAATTACTCAGAAATGATGATCACTAAATCAAACAGAGGTAAGAAAGCATTTGTTTACGCGGCTAATAATATTAGGTTGACTAATAAATAAGTTCGGTCGCTTTTTCAGCTCTTACAAATGCTGTAGACAAATTTTTGTCCAATGTTTGGTATCTCTGATAAGAGCACTTCACTGGATATTGGAGCATATATTCTGTTTGAATAAAACTTATCTTCCCAGGAAAAAAATCCTCAAAGAAGTGAAAAATCGCAATTTTCCCATAATGCGCAAATATGAGGGAATTTGGTTTTTTTTGTGATACATTTTCAAAATGGCAGATTACAGTTCTTTTTGTTGTTCACTAAAAAGGGATAACTCCTTTGTGTCCAAATACAAAACTGCTGGTCTTTACATCCATTACAGCATGAAAACGAAGCTCAAGAAATCAAAGAATTGAGCTTTTGGAAATTTCGCCATGTTGAGGCATAACTGTCTTTACTGATGTAAAAAAGTCCTGATTATTTGAAATGTGATAGAGGAAGCTTCGAACCACTTTCTTTCAAAGAATCGTAAATTGAAAACAAACAGAAAATTTTTTATGACAATTTGTATGCCAAAACGAACTTACTTTTTAGCCAACCTAATATTATGCATACTCAGGTCTGATGCCAAAAAACAGCTCTA